TAAATTGCTATGGGAGGTTTTTTTAATCATATGATAATTACCTTCTCCTTGAAGAAGGGAAAACTAAGATTTTTAGATTTTATTTTCATTCCTACTGAAATTATTCCATTGTGTATAATTACAACTCCAACTCAACCCACTTAAACCAGCTGTTGACTCTGAAAAATGGGAAATGGATAAAAGACGCTGCCTCTGATTATTATTTCTTGGATAAGTTTAACTGATGTAAAACAACTGCCACATAGAGGAGGTTAAAAGAGTCCATAAATCACATCAGCCATTAAACATTTGATGTCTTTGCCAAATGGAGAGACATGGCAGTAAAAAGGAAAACCAGTTTAGAATTCATGATTATTTGCAAAACGTTAGGAAAAAGATGAAAGATTATGAACAGTAGTGACTCATAAAACAGCGAAAAGCAGTCCAGGAGAAAGCGAGCATATAGAAAGGTTGGCATGAGGCCCCATAGAGCCAGAACAACTATGCGTGAAACTGGAAAGACAAACAGATGTCAAATGGAACATATCTAGCAGTATTTCTACAATGTCGTCATTGATGATAGTGGGACCACATTTAGACTCAACACCTCAGTACCTAAAATGCCATTCAGTGAATTCCAAAGGAAAGAAAAATATCCTGAACAGTATTTTTATAAAATAAATATAAAGTCTTTGAGATGAGTCCATGCAAATATCAAGGAGATTCCAGAATGGAATAGGCAATCTTCCCTAAGTGCTTCTCTATAACATACCACATAGGACATGGACTGGAACTCTGATTTCATGAGTAGAGGGAGGTTGAGGAACTTTCTTTTTGAATGTAGCTCAACATCTCAGCAAGTCTTAAGAGAGTTGCCCAGGGGCAGTTAGGTGGTGTAGTGGATGGAACTCTGACCTTGGAGTCAGGAGGACCTGAGTTCAAATCCAGCCTCAGACACTTGACACTTAGTAGCTGTGTGACCATGGGCAAGTCACTTAACCCTGATTGCCTTACCAAAAAGCAAAAAAATAAAAAAATAAAGAAAAAGAAAAAAAATAGAGTTGCCCAGTCATTGAGAGGTTAAATGACTTGCTGAAGATCACATAGCCTATATATGTCCAAAGCAAAACATGAACTCAGGTCTTCCTGACTCCAAGGCTATCTATCTCTCTATCCATTACAGCACACTGCCTCACAGAATTGACTCAAATATGTAGAGGATAAACTCTTGCTATATCTATCCTTTATTAATCATAAGTAAAACACTTGACTTGGTAGAACCCAGCAGCCTTAAAGCCCTCTTCTGATAGTATGGCTTCCATACAAATATGATTGTTCAAGATTCCTTGGTAGATGCAGCCACAGAGAACTTTGTTCAACCATCCTCTGGTTATTAATATCAAGTAAGGTAAGAAGTAAGAAGACAAAGATTTGCCATAAGTGATTGCCACCATTATGGAGGATGTCCTAAAAAAAAAGAGTCCCAATGAATTATCCCTAAATGCTGAGGTTCTCCAAATGTCCTGTTAGTGGGTGACATTTTGTTGATTGCATTGAGCCCCATCCCCTGCAAGATATACTCTATGCATGCTCTCTGATTAATTACTACCTATGGCAAAGATCTCCTTATTGAAATCCATGGCCACTCAGAAGAGAGATCAACCTAACAAGTAAATGAAAGGATGCATATTAACCAATTTATGGCATGTAGTTGGATGAGCAACCTATTAAGTTAGTCTGTTGGTACACATGTAAGGAACAGATACTGCAGACAGACAGCAAACTGGGTTTAGAATCAATCTACAAGAAAGAAAATAGGCAGGATACTAAATGTTTGGGAAACAAGCCACTGCATATTAGTAATGATGCCTTTTATATGAATAGCTTAGAAGACATCAGAGACATATATGAACAGAAAATATGGGTCAGTCACGTAGCTAGAGTGAAGAATGACAAACAGCTTGTGTGTTACATTGATAGCTCTGAAATATTAAAGGAACCAGGTCCATAGTTACTGGATAGGTATTCTATTTTAAGAAAAAGACAAGAATCCTAGGGTGAAAAGGCATAGAAAAATTTTTATCTTTAATCCTACCAAAGAGAACACATAGTTCACTGTAATATTGAAGTCCAGAAAGATTAATTGATTAAGTTCATATAGCTAGTTAGTGGTAAAGCTGAGTCTAGAACCCAGCAATCATGACTCAGTTTGTTGCTGTTTCCACTACACTCTACCTCTTTTAATTAGGAGAATCCGCATAAAAAAATAGGATCATACCAGATGGGTAAATTTTGTTACATCGTTATAAGATGTGCTTAAAGGTAGGAAACCATCCAATACACACACACACACACACACACACACACACACACACACACACACACACACTCTTAATTACTGCTAAGAACCTGAAATGTATGTTTTAGGCCTAGTGACTTCCTACATAGTCAAGATGCAATTTAGTGGAAATATTAAAGGCTGAAATGAAAATACACTGTATTCCATTGAATTTACACTTGCTAATTCCTTTCAGGCTAATGGTTTAGCATTTCCAGGATTGCAAACAAAAAGAGTTTTATTAACTAGAGTCCATCTCTAAGACACTTTAAAGTCATGACAACAAATTTTCCCAAGGCTGGTTTCAAACAACTCAAAATGCCTGAAATTGAACTTATTATGTTTAATTTCAATGCCAGCCTCTTCATAAAACCTTGTTATAATCTTACGTGTACGTCCTCTAAAGCCTTAATTGTAAGCTCCATGAAGGAAAAGTAAGCTCAATAAATATCTGCTGAATTAATTAATCTCACAGTCAACTATACTGCTTTTCAAAGGGTCATCCAGGCTTGAAAACCTGGAACTGATTTTCACTCCTTTCTTTTTTCCTTCCCATATTCGATCAGTCACAAGCCAATCGTCCTCTGTAAAGTATTATCTGACTCTTTCTCTTCCACTACCACTTCTTTCATATAGGTCCTCATCATATTATGACTAGTTTACTACAACCATCTCTTGGCTAATCTGTTTCATGGACTGCACCCTTAACTCATTCCAGTCTATCCAATGCTTAGTCACCAGGAAAATCTTTCTTTTTTTTTTTTCAAGAAAGATTTTATTTTATTTTTTTAAATTTTATTAATTTATTTTGATTTATCAACAATCACTTCCATATGCTTTCAAGTTGAAAATTTTTCTCCCCCTTCCTCACCCCCACCCTCCCCAAGATGGCACACAATCTGATATAGGCTTTACATTTACATACCCGTGAAACATTTTCACATTAGTGAAGTTGTAAGTAAAAATTAAAACCAATAGGAGGAACCATCAGAAAGATGAAACAAAACTCAACAGAAGGTAAAAATAAGTGATAGCGATTCAACTTCCATAGTTCTTTCTTTGGGTGTGGATAGCATTTTTCACTCCGAGACCTCTGGAGATGTCTTAGATCCTCATGATGCTGAGAAGGGTTCAGTTTAACAATATTAGTCATTGCATAACGTGGCTGTTATTGCGTACAAAGTCCTCTTGGTTCTGCTCACTTCACTCAGCATCAGACCATATAAGTCTTTCCATTACATTCATATACCACAACTTGCTCAGCCATTCCCCAGTTGATGGGCATCCTCCCAAGTTTCAATTCTTTGCCACCACAAAAAGAGCTGCTATGAATATTTTTGTACATGTGGGTCCTTTGCCCATTTGTTTGATCTCTTTGGGATATAGCCCTAGAAGAGCTATTGCTGGATCAAAGGGTATGCACATTGTTGTAGCCCTTTGGGCATAGTTCCAAATTGTTCTCCAAAATGGTTGGATCATTTCACAACTCCACCAACAATGTATTAGTGTCAGGAAAATCTTTCTTAAATACCACTTTGATCACATATCAATCTGGCCTAATAATCTTTAATCCTTATTGCCCACTAAATCTAAATTCCCTAGTAACCTTCTCCCATCCCACACCTATCCAGTCTTTACTATACTTCCCAACACAGAGTTGTTGTGAGTCTAAATCTGCTACACATCACTGATTGGTCTGGTCTGCTTTGTTTTGTTTTATTTTTGGCTAGGCAATGGGATTAAGTGACTTGCCCAGGGTCACACAGTTAGTATTATGTGTCTGAGGCCAGATTTGAACTCAGGTCCTCCTGAATCCAGGCCCAGTGCTCTATCCACTGGGCCACCTACCTGCCCCCTGATTGGTCTGTTTTTAGACTCTGCTGTTTCCTATTTAAGCAACAACATTCATTTTTTTAAAAATGTTTTTATTGGTATCTTTTTTTATATCAGCTAGATGATGAAATGGATATAGCACTGAGCCTGGAGTCAGGAACCCTTGAGTTCAAAGCTGGCCTTGGATACTAGTTGTGTGATCCTGGGCAAATCACTTACCTTGTTTGCCTGTTTCATCATCTGCAAAATGGGGATAATAGCACCTACTTCCTAGGGTTGTTGTGAGGAACAAATGAAATAATTGTAAAGCACTTAGTCCTCCTCTTCTTTTAATTTAATAGGATTAATTTTAATAGGATTCTTTTTGTTTTGTTTTTGTTTTTAGGCAATTGGGGTTAAGTGACTTGCCCAGGGTCACACAGCTAGTGTCAAGTGTTTGGTCTGCAGCGGAATTTGAACTCAGGTCCTCCTGACTTCAGGGCCAGTGCTCTATCCACTGCACCACCTAGCTGGCCCCAAATAGGACTCTTTTTAAGATAATGAGGGAAAAAAATTAGCATAACTGATCAATACATTGAAAAACTCTGAAAATATGTGTAATGTGCCACACTTGTGGACTTCCTACAAAGGAATGAGATAGGAGTGTTGAGGTTTTAGAGGTTTAGGGGTGCTGGGACCCCAAGATAACAACTTACAGATCCTGCCTGAATGAATTCAACCCAAGCCTTCTTTCAGCCAAAGACAAGTTTTATTAAAGATCCACTATATTGACCAGACTCTTAAAAGAATCTGAACATTTGTGAACTATTGGCTAGATTTTAAGAATCTGAGCACTTTAATGGAGGCCAGATAGACATTATATACAGAAAGACTGTGTGGGAGGACTCTAGGAGTGGCCAAGTATTTTGGGATGACTAGAGAAGGGGGTCTGGGAGAAGGGGTCTAGGGAGGATCTTGATGGGAGTGACTGGGAGGTCTAGATAGAATCAAGGGTGGGAAAGTAGCCCTGGGCCATTGGGAGGTAACAGACAATGAAGGGCTGGGCTAAATTTAGGGTAACAGAGAATTAGGTGATTGGGTGTAGTCACAATGAAAGGACAGTTGAGAGGATTACTGGGATGATGCCTCATTGGGAACTCTAGAGACTCCCTTGATCAAGTGGGAGTTCAAGGAGAGTCCAAGGTGGTGTTTTTCTAGGGCTTGTAGACAAATGGGACCCGCATTCTTTTTGAGGTAAGAGGCAAAAGTCTAGGCTTGTGCCTGTACCCTGTCAGTAGCAGCGTCTCATTTATTCTTTCAAACCATGCCTGTTCTAATTTTGCAGCACTTAAGATTTTTTTTCTTGTGGCTGTTCTCTATGTAAATTGTTTTCTTGGCTCTGCTTACTTCACTCTGCATCAATTCAAGTAGATCTTTCATTACTTCTTTGTAGTCATCACATTTGTCATTTCTTACAGTGCAGTAATATTCCATTGCATTCATGTAGCACAGTTTGTTTTGCTATTCCTCAATCAATGAGCATCTAATTTGTTTCCAGTCTTTTGCTACAAAAAAAAAATGCTGCTATAAATATTTTGGTTTATCTTGTATTCTTGGGATACACACACACACACACACACACACACCACACACACACACACTTTATAGTAGAATCACTAGGTCAAAAGGTACAGAGGATTTAGTCACTTTGACTAATTCCAAATTGCTTTCCAAAATGGTTGTACAGTTTCTGTACTCCACCAACGATGAGAGATATCTATCTTTGAATCTTCCCCCAATATTGACTATTACCATGTTTTGTCATGTTTGCCAATTTGCAGTGTGTACAGATAACCTCAGGACTGGGTTTTTGTTGTTCAGTCATGTCCAACTCTTCAGACCCTATTTGGGGTTTTCTTGGCAGAGATACTGAAGTGGTTTCCATTTTGTTCTCCAGCTCATTTGACATATGAAGAAATTGAAGCAAATAGGGTTAAGTGACTTGCCCAGGGTCACACAACTAGTGTCTGAGGCCAGATTTGAATTCAAGAAGCTGAGTTTTCCTGACTCTAAGCCAGGCACTCCATCAGCTGAGGATTTGCATTTCTCTTATTAGTGGATTTGGAGCATTCTTTCATAAGGTTAACAGTTTGCAACTCTCCTTTTGAGAATTTTTTATTCATATCCTTTGACCACCTGTCTACTGGGGAATGGCTTTTGTGTTTTTATGTTAAGTGTTTATAAATCTTAAGATACAAAACACTTAGCAGAGAAATCTTATACAAAGTTTTTCTCTTTCCTTCTAGATGCATTTTGTTTGCATGTAAGAGTATCACCATTCTTATTCCTTTATACCAACCAAGAACCAATTTGAGTCATGCCTTCCAAGAAACCTTCCCTTAGTAAGCCTAGCCAAACATTATTTTTAACATTTAGCACCTCTTATGTTTCTTTCATTTCTTTGTATAGTTTGTCCTTGGACATTTGTAATTGTTTTCCAGTTGTTTCCTGCAAAATGCATTTTTGTCTTTCAACTAGAAGATTCCCAGAGTAAGAGGAACTATAAAAAGTCTATTAATAAGTATTTCCCATCATCTTAACTTTTTTTCATTTTTATATAACCTAGATTTTCCCGTATCCCTCCTTGTAACCAGAAAACCATCCCCAATAACAAAGAATTCTCATCATCTTTAAAAGTTTCTTGTCTTGCATAACTATTTTTAAGCAACCGGAATTACCAGCTGATACAGAGAACACTTCATTCAATAAATATTTATTTAGCATATAAATGCTAAGGGTTATAGGGGATTGAGGGAAAAAAAGACCATTGCTGCTCTGGAAAAGTTTGTTAAATGCTTGCTATTTGCAAGGCATTGTGCCAAGCGCTAGGGAACAAAGAAAAGCAAATTATACTCCCTGCCCTTAGGGAGCTCACTTTCTAATGGGGGAGACACAGGACAAACAACTACTTATAACCTGAATAATCTGAAGTATAGTAGTCTCAGAGGCAAAACCCTAGGAGCTGGGGGAGGTGGTGCAATCCATGTAAGGCATCTTGCAAGAAGTGGGATTTCAGCCGAGTCCTGAAGCCAGGGAGGCCAAGACACAAAGACAAGGAAGGAGAACATTCCAGGTATGGGGAAAAACAGCCAGTGAAAAGGCATAGAGTGGGAAGAGGGAGGGTTGTGTGTGAGGAATAGCAAGAAGGCCAGAGTCACTAGAGTGGGTGGACAGACGTATAATGTAATTAGAATGGGGAAAGGCATGAAGGGGCCAAGTTATGAAGTACTTTAAAAGTCAAACAGAATGCTATACTTGATCCTGGAGATAACAAGGAACCACTGGAGTTTACTGATAAGTGATGTCACATGGTCAGATACTTTTTGCAGCTGACTAGAGAATGGACTGGAGTGGGGAGAGACTTGAGGCAGACATGGCAGCAATAGTCTAGGTGTAAAGCGATAAAGACCTGTACTGGAGTGGCAGTTGTGTGAGTAGAGAGGTGGATATATTTGAGACGTGTTGTGATGGTAGAGAAAAGACTTGGTCACAGATTACATATGGAAGCTAAGTGCAATTGAATCGCTGATGCTGATGTTACAAACCTGGATGACTAGGAATATGGCAATGCTCTCGATAGTAATATGGAAGTAGAGATAAGAGGAGGGCTTGTTAGGGAAAGATATTAAGTTATTTTGGATATGTTAAGAATCTCAAACTTCCTAATACACAGTTGGTGATTTGAGATCAAGGGCAAGAGAGGTAAGGGCTAGAATCTAATTGCTAGAGAAATACATGAGAATCATTTGCATAGAGATACTAAATGAACCCAATGAAGCTGATGAGACCCCAAAGAAAGATAGTACAGAACATAATATAATGGTATGAAACTCAAAAAGGATCCCTGCAAACAGCCAGGGATAGTGATTTTGACACTTCTGGTAAGAAAAGTACCAAGGACAGAACCTTAGTGCCTTGCCATGGTAAGTGAGCAAGACTTGAAGACCAAACAACTGAGACTGAAGACAGAAAGAGCAGACAGACATGTAGTAGAGCCAGAAGGCAATGTCATGAAAACACCAAGAAAAGTTTCCAGGAAAAGACACACTCTTACACAGTGTAAAAAGTTATAGAGCGGTCAATAAGGATTGAGAATTGAGAAAAAAACTTAATGGGCTTGGCAATTAGATTAGTGGTAACTTTGGAGAGGGCAATTCCAATTGAACGAAGAGGATGGAAGCCAGTTATCAGAGGGTTTAGAATCAAGTGGGAGGAGAGGAGAGGAAATAACCTCCAATTCCTCTATGCTTCAGTTCTTGCCCAAGACATTATCCCTGCTGAGTTTATCCTCTCTCCCCTTCCTCATCTTGACCCCTTGGTGAACCAGTTCAATGCTATACTATATCTCCTCTTGAAATAATAAGTACTTAAATTTTTGTTGACTGAGACACCAATTGTAGACTCCTTTCTCTCTCTCTCTCTCTCTCTCTCTCTCTCTCTCTCTCTCTCTCTCTCTCTCTCTTTTTGTAGACTCCTTTCTCAAACAGTTTAGCCACACACAAAATGGAGAGACATGATGAGCTTGGTGGTGGCAGTGGTGTGATGGTAGAGTAGGGGAAGGTCTGGTGAGGGTTGATAGGGGAGAAATAAGCATGTTTGAGGATAGTAGGGAAGCTGCCACTATACTAGGAAAGATCAAAGATTAGTGAGGGTGGGGAATAATAGAAGTGGTAATCTACTGACAAAGATATCATGGAATCATTTGTGCACATACAGGGATTTACATACGCAAGAAGGATCATTTCCTCTTCTTTCAGGGGTGAAGACAGTGGTGAAAAGCATCTGAGTATTTTGAGTTGAGCGAAGAGGGAGCTCTTAGAATTTTTTCAGTGAAACATGAGGCAGGGCTCTCAAATGAGAGGGTGAGGGCTGGAAGTACCATGGGAGGGTTGAAAAGATTTGAAAAAGCTATTGTGGGATAGTGAATCTATTAGAGAGGTTTGAAATAATTACCTTGCTTCAATGAAGACCCAGTAGAGATTAAGTAACATAAATTTGCAGTGGACCCAGTCAGCATGGCTCTGAGACAATAAAATGACCTATTGTCACCCCAAGGCACAAAAGAATACCCTTTTTGTAAAAAATAAAGATTGAAGCAAATCTGATGATTTAAATCTAATCCACCCCGATTTTATGTTGAATCATATCCTTCAGAACATAATAACACATGATAAAAGCTTGGAAAAATATGACTAGCTTAGAAAAAATTGGTTAGTCCTGTTCCCAACACAGGCAAGAATGAACTCTACAAGATATTGAAATTGGCTTGTTATAATTTTGCATAATGAGAACAGTACTAGAAATTATACTCCCAGTTTACAAGAGTTAAAGATTCAATTGACATAATACCCAGCCTTTCTACAGGGAATTTGCTGAAAATTTGCACTGAACATTGTAGTGAAAAATAGAAGTCATATGCACACTTTTACCTTTTTTTCTCCTAAGATCTTAGAGAATTTCATAGTACAGTGTATTGTTTGGGTGGGTGGTCTGGGAGCATAAGTGAATTTTTCCATAAAAGAAGCATGGAGGTAACTGTTGCTTGATGTCAGAACCACAGAGCTTTCTCCCTTTTTGCTTATAATACAAACAACACATCATTACTATTTTATTACAGTATGACTGATGTACTCACAAGAACAACCAAAGAGGATGTTTTAGACCAGTAATGGCAAACTCAAAAATGCGATGTCACCTATGATTTATTATGTTTTTCTTTTATTAAATGTTCCCAATTATACTTTTATCTTGTTTGGGCCAGCACAGCCTGTTTGACACCTCTGTTCTAGACCATGCTTATCTGTATACAAAATACATTTGTATTCACTTTCATTCCAGTTACGAGTTAATACAGCTTTAATTTTACTTCAACTATGTTATGTTTCTACTCAGATTATAATTTTTAAAAACCTTTTACTTAAACTATTTAAAAAATTCTCATTTGTTGTCTTTAATTGCTCACTGTCTTAATGGAAGGGCTGGTGAATTGTTGAACTTACAACTCATTAAAATAGCTAGAGAGTAAAGTGAATTAAATTTAGTGCCTCTGGGATTTGATACATGTTCCAAATTTGTTTTTAATGGCATAATTGTTCCATTGGTTACACTGCAAGGTTACATCATGAAGAACCTGTTATGTATGTGGTTACACTGTAATAAGAAGCCAATGTCAAATGTCAACATTTAAAGTGAGTAAAGGACTTAAAGTATTAACATTAAAAATGGAAGCTGAAAATCAAAGAAGAAAAACTTCAAGCTGAATAAAGTTCTAATACTATGAAAAGTGTTAACGAGGAAAACTTGCAAAGCACATATATTGAATAGCTTGCAATGTATCCTCATTGCACTTGAATATTTTTCACTAACTGTTACAAGAGAGAAAACAATGTATTTTTCTCCATGGTGTTCGTTTGTCCATTTTGAAAACTCCCATTGGTATAAGTACCACGTAAATAAAAATATTTGTCAAGAGAAAAAAAAAACACTGGTATGGATTTACAGCAACTATATTTTATATTTTTCAAAGAAAGAAGGAATGAAATTCAATATTGTTACTACCATTCTTAAGGCAGTTCTTTTTCCTTAAAGGTATTTTACATTTTGCTAAAATTGACCTGTAAATAAAATTATACGTTCCCATTGTCTTCTACTATTCAAATGGATTTTCCTTTTCTGCCATTAATTCCCCCCAAGTTCTTGGATGAGGAAGGTGAGGCCCAAATAAATGGCAGAGAAGATTGTATACTGCAACACTCCTGTGTCTGGTTTGTCATTTAGCTCCCACTCAACACTTTTCCAGACTCTGGCCTCTCCACTCCAGTTAACTACCCTTTTTTTCACCTTCCATCCTAAGTAGTAATCTGTCCTATGCCTGGAAATACTCAAGACTCAACATTCACAGCTTCCTGAATTTGCTCCCCACGTTTTCCTTTTGTAGGTATTTATACCTGTTAGTATTGCTAATATAGTTAACATACCATAATCCAAACCGAAACTTCCTTGTGTTTGATGCCTCCTATATCTAGCTAATTTTATCACTTACATATTAAAAAATCTATCTTATTACCTTAGAACAGGACATCGAAATATTTTGCAAGGCAGTTAACTGGGCTGTTAGTAGGCATATTGTGCTAGTATTTAGATTTATGTAGAGAAAAATAATTCTAATAGTCAGACTGTTCTACAAATGTTATTGGTCATCTAGTTACAACTGAAAAAATTCAAACTATGTCATTCTTCATGTACCAAAGGATTGGTGTGGCACTGAAGATCGACTCCTAAAAGGCCCTGGACTTTCCCCACCGTGGCTGGGACCTGAGCCATGTGGGAAAGTCCAGGGCCTTTTAGAGGTCCATCTTTAGTGCTCCATCAATATCAAAGGCATATTTTGCTGCAATTAACTACTAGTACTTAATACCACACACAAAAGTAATTTCCAATTTAATGACAATGGCATAAAAGGGATAACGGATTAATAGATGTAAATAATTTGACTTTTCCTCTCTTAAAATGTACTTTTATCAAAGTGCAGTACAATTTGATTAAAATTGAAATTGAGGTTGCTACTTATCAAACCAGTAAGAGTTGTATTTTTTTCCTAAGCTAATAATAAAACTATCATCTCAGTACACAAAGTAGAACAGAGGAAGAGTACTAAACCTGAAACCTTGACTCTCTCTAGGATACATTCTGCTTTTTCTTTTAAGTATGTAATCAACATGTAACTTTCAAAGCTGTCCTGCTTTTCTTCTATTAACTTCTAATCATTAAAAAAAATGTTTCAACTACCCTAGTTTTTTTTTTTGGCTTTTTCCTGGCAGCCTATCATAGAGCCCTCACCTCCATCTCACCAGCACCAAATGAAAAAAAAAATCCTTGTACCAAAATGAAGAACAAATTAACTTATTCCTATGTCAGGTAAAAAGAGAAAAGGACTTTCCCGTTTTCTTACTAAAGAGAAACAAGGTATCATTAGCTGTTGTTTAAGGCGAGCGCTCAAAACTTTTACCACTATTGTATTTAAACGAGGGTTTCCTAGCTACTGAAACGTAGCTTAGCGGCAGGAACTTTTATCTTTTCACCCCCACATCCCCTAGCACTACATCTTAAACATCCTGTCGAGCTCAGTGAATAGTTCTCGAATTTAATTAGGATAACTAACCGGCTGGCTTCACTTGTACAAAAGACAGGTAGAAGTCTACACTGCTGTTCTCAAAAAAAGGTGGAAGTAACTTGGACTATTCCAGAGAGTAATCAGATCTTTGAGAAGGTGTTAAATATTTTTGGGGGGAGGGGTGTCGTCTTTCTTTGTATCCGAAGTGTATAAATATATTGGTTAGCACATAGTTGACACTTTATAAATTACTAGTTAACTGACTCAGAATCCTGGCTATAGAACTGATATAGACAGCCCAACCCTTTCATTTTATATTAAGAGGAATCCGAAGCCCAGAGGGATTAAAACACTTGCATAGGTACTGCTAGGATTTGAATCCAGGCCCTCTGACTACGAAAACATACAGTCTTTCCACTACCCTTAGCCTCATCCTCTCTTCCCCCTCCCCCCAGGCTTTGGTTGATCTTCTTACCCTCCTAGAGAGAGCTGAAAGGGATCTAGAGATTATCTAGTCCCACCTGTTCATTCTACAGATGAAGAAACTGAGGCCCAGAGAGGGGTAAGCTACATGCCCAAGGTCAGCCAGGACTCGGATCGGTTCCCTAGGCCACCTCCACCTGCAGGAAGCGCGGGGGGCGGGGCCAAGCCCCTCGGGCCGAGGCCGCCCCCTACCCCCAGCAGCCGCCCTCGGCTCCCCGCAGCGCGGAGGGAGGGGCGGGCGAGGGAGGCCCGGAGGCGCGCAGGCCGCCCCCTCCCTTCCCCGCCATGGTGTCCGCACCGCCACCGTGAGGCTGAGGGGAGGACCGTGCCCCCGTGGCGGCGGTGACGGTGACGGGGCTGCTCCGGCTCCGCTCCAGCGGCCGCTGCTCCCTCTCTCCCGGGACGGCGAGTGTGGGTTTTTTTCCGCGTTTTCGGCGGCGGCGCGGGTGGGGAGGAGGGGAGAGAGGGGGAGGGAACGGGAGCAGGGGCGGCGGCGGCGGCGACGGCGGCAGGCCGGAGGGGCGGGTCCTGCCTGGGGGCTGATCCCTCCCCCCGCGCTGCCTCCCCTGGCCGGGCTCCGTGGCGGCAGCAGCGGCGGCGGCGGCGGCTCGGCTCCCGTCCCTCTCCTCCCCTTCCCTTCCCTTCCCCTCCCTTCCCCCGGGGAGCAGCGGCCGCCGCGGGGGCCAGCACGGAGGACGCGGAGGAGGTGCGGGAGCAGGAGGCCTCCGCTCCCCTGCCTAGGGGCCCCCGAGCAGCCAGGTCGGGCTGAGGTAACGGGGGCCACGGGCCCGGGCGGGGGCGGGGGCAGCGGGGCCCGGGCGGCCGGGGGAGGGAAGGAGAGGGGAGGGGCCCCGGGGAGGGAGGAGGCTTCCCGCTCCGGGCGGCGGTGGCCGCGGTGGCGGCAGAACCGTGTGACTCCTCCCCAGGGGCGGAGGCGGCGGAGGCCCTAGCGGGCTGAGGGGGAGGGAGGCAAAGCCGAGGAGCGGGACCCCCCTCCCGCCGCCGCCGCCATCTTGTCTCCCCTAGTCCTGGCTGCTGAGCGGGAGAACCCTGCCCCCGCCGCTCGAGCCCCGCCCCCGCCGCGCCCGCCGATTGGAAGTTGCGGAGAGCGGTCCCGCCTTCTCGCGGCCCTTGGCCCCGGGCTTCTGGAATTGGCAGGCCGATTGGCCAATAGGGCTGCGGCTCCTCTCCCTCGCTTTATCAGTCTGTGTCTTCTGTCTGTCTGTCTGTCTCTAGATACCTTTCGTCTCTCCTTCGCCCCCCCCCTTCGGGGGGAGATATTGTTTCGCTCTCGACTTTTCTCCCCCTTCCCAAAGAGTTAAAGATTCTTCTGGAAGAATTACCTTCTTAAAGGGGCAGGGCTCAGCTAGAGACTTGACCTGCCCGATGAAAGTGCCAGGGCTCAGGGGGCTCCATTCTACCCCTCCTATGTGCAAGGCCTTGCAGGGGCAGATGGCATGTGAAACCTGATTGTGGGGATACCTTCCCACCTCCAGTTACCCATGGGCTTGTTAGGGAAAGGAGGATGGAGGACCATTGGGGCAGGCTATTTTTTTTTTCATTGGTGGGACCGACGGACCTCTGGCTAAACTGCAGCTAAATTGTAAGCTTCTCGAGGGCAGGGAGCTGCTAACCCTGGTCCCAATTCCGGTTTAGCATAGAATTGAGTACCATTCTTAGGAAGATACATATAGAGCTGGGAGGGACTTAAGGGGCCATCTAGTTAAATGTCCTCATTTTACAGACCAGGAAACTGAGGCCATTGGAGTTTAAGTTATTTGTGACTTTGCTGACAGAAATTATATTTGGAACTCGTGTCTTCGGCCTCCAGACTCAGTGTTTCCACCTCCCCTCTCCCTTTCCATTGAACCGTGCCAAGCTAGTTAATGGGTGGAGTATTTGATTGGAAAAGTCAGGGAGGGAATTAATGCTGAATGAGACCCTTCCCACTCCCCAAAACACAACACACACACACACACACACACACAACTATCACACTCACACTCTCCTTCCCTTTCTTCCCCTCTCCTCTCTCTCTCCCCCTCTCCCCAAGTAACTGAGAAAACTGGTAGTTTCTTTGGGAGATGGGTAAAAGAAACGGGACTTCCAAACATTTGGCAACGTGGGCAGGCAGGCTGACAGCAGCATCATGTGGCACAGGTTGCCCCGAAGGCATGAGGCATTTTTAGGGCCTCCCAGCTGGTGTCAGATAGTTCAAGGCTGGCTCAGAGCCCTCCCAAGACAGGGCAACCCACCTTGATGGGTTTCTTCATCCTTCCCCCTTTCCTATGCATAGTACCCAAGATGAATTGTTGCCAGAATGATGAGGTTGTTACTTGTGTCAATCTTGGGCTGCTGTTGGGATAGGTGGTGTTTTTAACCATGATACTAGTTACAGCTTATTAAGGATGATAAACTAACATTTGATTGGTGCTTTGTACTTTTCAAGGCAATTTTGTATCCATTATCTCCTTTGTTCTTCACAATAGCATGAGAGAGGGAGGTATTACTATTACTACATAGGTGAAGAAATTGAGGCACAGATGACTAACTTTGATAGACTTAGCTCTTCTCAGCAATGCAAGGATCTAAGACACCTCCCACAGTCTCATGATGGAAAATGCTATCCACATCCAGAGAAAGAACTGTGGAGTTTGAATGGACATCAAAGCATACTATTTGCTCTTATTTTTTCTTTTGTTTTTTCTTTCTTGTGCTTCCTCCTATTGGTTCTAATTCATCTTTACAAAATGACTAATGTGAATATATTTAATAGGAATGTATGTGTATAGGCTATATCAGATTGTGCACTGTCTTGGGGAGGAAGGGGGAGAAAATTTAAAACTTAAAAGCTTATGGAAGTGATTGTTGAAAACTAAAAATAAGTTAATAAAAAAGAAATAGGCACAAAGAGGAAAAGTCACTTGTTCAAATTCATGTGATGAATTAAGAGAAGCAGAATGTAAAAGTAAAACTTTTGACTTCTTATTCTGTTGCCTTTCTAAAATCATGGCTTCTGGCTGATGTTTTTCAGTTTACCTTGTAAGGTAATTTGATAATGTTGCCCCACTTCACAGATGTGGCTTATTAATCTGCCTTAATTCTGCCACGGTGGAATTATAATAAACGTTTATGTAGTCCTTTAAACCTTGGGGGGACTGATGATAGTTGTTATTTGTGTAGTACGTTAAAGCATGCAAAGTACTTTATATGCATCATCTCATTTTTGACTCACTTGTGAAGTGTAATCCAGGTAGAAGCACCTGTTTGTTAGTTACCCTATTGTTTAATTATTGCCAGCTCAGGTCAACTTGTACTCTAGGCTCCATTTTCAAGGGATATTGTTTGCTGTAGGTACCAGTGGGAGAGCCAAGAATTTCCTCGTCAGCAATTGTAGCTCCCTTCCTCCAAAAACCTCTAAGGGCAAACTTTAGAGATGTTCTGTGGACAATAGTTCTCAGCACTGTATGAGTGTACAACAGTGTATGTGTTTTGGAAGGGAGCAAGCATCTTTTGAGCTTATAACATGTGGTAAGGGCATTTTAATCCTTTGCTTGTTTCTAATTCAGAATGAAGATTTCTTTGGTGAGTTTCCAGGGCTTCTAGACATGTCTAATTTAAAACATTCTAGAGATTAGACTACTTTAGGTTATTTTCTTGATTCCTTTACCAAGGCCTGTCCTGTAGTTTTCAGGGTTTTTCTTAAAAGTGATTACATAGCTCAGATGCTGTTCGTGTGCAGTTTGAAATCTGAACCAAGAAGGGATACACCTATTTAACCACAGGTGTGATACTACGCCTTGGTCACTGTGATTCTGGGGGTAACAGTGAGGTTAGTGTGATGAACTTTGATTTGAACCCTAAGTCTTTTTCCTCTTCTATAAAATGAAGACAGTAATTCTTGTGCTATCTACCTTACAGGACTGTTGTGAGAAAAGCAATTTGTAAGCCTCAGTGTTCTTGGAAACGTTAGAGGAGCCTGGTGTAGTGGATAGAGAGCCTGCCTTAGGAGTGAGGAAGGCTTGAATTTAAGCTCTGCCTCTAACTTGCCCTTCCAGACAAGTGACTTGACTTAGTGCTTCTGGCAACCAACTCTAAGACTGTAAGTTTCAGAGCAGGTGCTGCTTTGTATTGGTAGAGGATTTTTCATCACTGGGAGTTTCCTATTCCAATTATGTCACTGGTTTGATTGAAATGTAAATACACATGACTAATTTAATAATAAGTGGGGACACATGAAGCCATGGTGGTCTTTTTGGTGTCTTAAAGGAAAATCTCATTATATATTTGGATGAGCTACTTTATGCTACTTGTGTTCCCCCGTCTACCTGCTTACATTTATCTCTTGGCTTTTTCTCTTAGGCTTTTTTCACTCCCAGACAACACTTATTACAAGTACAAGTAACATGAGGAAGCCTCGAAGGAGATCCGGCAGAATGCCGAAGGCAGGCGTTCTCCATCCCCCTATAGCCTCAAGTGCTCCCCAACTCGAGAGACGCTAACTTATGCCCAGGCACAGCGGATCGTGGAGGTGGACATTGATGGACGACTGCACCGAATCAGCATCTATGACCCTCTGAAAATCATCACTGAGGATGAGCTGACAGCTCAGGATATCACCGAATGTAATAGCAACAAAGAAAACAGTGAGCAGCCTCTGTTTCCTGGCAAGTCCAAGAAAACCTCTTCGAAAGGAAAGAAAAAGGAGTCCTGTTCCAAGCATGCCCCAGGCACCTCCTTCCACCTGCCTCAGCCCAGCTTCCGAGTGGTTGACTCATGCAGTCAGCCAGATGCACCACCCCTCCCTCCTGCTTACTATCGCTACATTGAGAAGCCACCGGAGGACTTGGATGCAGATGTGGAATATGACATGGATGAGGAGGACCTGGCGTGGTTAGACATGGTGAATGAGAAGAGACTGGTGGATGGCCATGGGACCATCTCTGCTGATACATTTGAATTGCTGGTAGACAGACTAGAAAAGGAATCCTATTTAGAGAGCCGAAGTAGTGGGGCTCAGCAGACCCTTATTGATGAAGATGCTTTCTGCTGTGTGTGCATGGATGATGAGTGTCACAACAGCAATGTCATCCTCTTCTGTGACATTTGCAACCTGGCTGTGCACCAGGAGTGCTACGGGGTCCCCTACATTCCAGAGGGACAGTGGCTTTGCCGATGCTGCTTACAGTCCCCTTCCCGTCCTGTGGACTGTGTTCTTTGCCCTAACAAGGGTGGGGCCTTCAAGCAGACCAGTGATGGGCACTGGGCTCATGTGGTGTGTGCCGTCTGGATCCCTGAGGTCTGTTTTGCCAATACCGTGTTTCTAGAGCCTATTGAGGGTATTGACAATATCCCACCAGCTCGATGGAAATTGACCTGCTACATTTGTAAGCAGAAGGGCCTGGGTGCT